ATTTTCTGCGAGCCTAACTTCAAGCCACAAATAAACAAACGAAGTGTTTGATCGTTTAAATAGCTGCTCGCCAGATTTTATTGCATTATAAAGAAAAGTAATTGATATTCGATTTTTGATTAATAATTGATTTATGTGGATAGTGGTATTTATGTGGATAGTGGCATAGAATTTAGCATTGCGTCATGGTAAATGTTATTCCTACTAAGTGGAAGTAGTTGTGTTTTTTTATATTATACCCAATTCTAGTTGTGAACCCCTTGTATTCCATCAGTTTCTTCACAATCAAGCTGAAATAGTTGGCTTAAGCATGTCATATTTTACTCAGGTGCAGAATTTAATTCTGGAAAATATTAAAGTGGGCACCTTTGGGACGCAGAAATATGTTCGTCAAAAATAAGTGTCCACTTAGGAAAAGGATATGCACATTCAGAAATCTTTAAAAAAAAGCATACATACGCGATTGTTTCTCAGTAAAGTTTTTCATGAAAGCGAATTCGAGTGTTGTTTGCTGCTAGATCTCTGAGTTAAGGCCTGGTTTCTTAAGACAGGACGCCGTCAGGTGGAAATCAGCGTTAACCTCTGATTGGTCCATTTGTGAGTTTGATAGTATACGTCATCGAACGCTCATCTTGAACTACAATTGCCGTCCAACTCAACTGCAGTTGGATTACAACGTGACGTTAACCACAGAAGCAATGGCGGACAACATCCAACAGCACATTGAAATCAGCCAAGATTTTGATTTTGACATTAAACATAGCTTCTTCATTAAACATAGCACTCTTCATTTAGCTCAGCTATAATGTGTTTTTTCTTGGACAAAGTCATTATTTGCTCTCTAAAACACTGGTCGACAATAACAAAATCAATACAAATTCAAAATAAATATTTGTTTACGTTATTAACGCATGCGCAATGAGAGATAATGTCTGCGTTGGACCAACTGCTCACGCTGAGCTAACAAAAAAGTATTTTTTTGGCGTCATCTCTACATCAACTTTCCGCTGACGCCCAGATAAGGCGCTAGTTCTAAGAAACCAGGCCTTGAGCTAACAAACCAGTATTTTGTTGGCGTCAGCGGGACGTTGACGTCACGCCGACGCCCAGATAAGGCGCTTGTCCTAAGAAACCAGACCTTAAATTTAATATTTTGGCAGTCGAAATCACTGGAATACGGAAAAAGAATCGTAACTTTAACCACAGCAAAACCGTCATGTAGATCTTCTGTTCCACATATTTCTATGTATGCAAGCAAAATATCTGTTTAAAATTATTAAACGTTAATACTGAAACTTTTTGTTTTCAAATATTAATAATAATTATTGTTGTTTGACAATTTTTTAAATTTAAATGTTTAATTACATATACTATCCTTTAAACGAAAATGTAATCCTGTTAAAAAATAATCCAAATTTTTAATGGTGAGAGGATAGCCACTTTTGATTAGTTAAGTTTAATTAGTTAACCGCTTTTACCTAACTCTCCATAATACAAAATTATCTAATTCTTATTTCAAAACGTAACAGCCACCGACAGCGGTTGATGCATTAAACGGAAAACTATCTGTTAGAGTTTCCATTTTTAAAGTCTATATCAATTAAAATTCAAATCCTGTGTTCAAATATTACAAAGAGATGAAATTTTAACAGCAAAAAATAATTCGCCTTGACTTAAAAAAAGTTTAATAAAACTGATTGGCAATCAGATGTTTAATTTAATTGCAAATTAAACGTGTCATATTAACGTAAAGACTAATTTTTACTTTTGAATGTAAATATCCATTGACTTGGTTTATGTTGTATTTTACTCCTTTTCGTTTTTAGTCATTTATTTAGTTCGTAGAGCCATTAAGTTCATATTTTTAAATTAATTTTATTGACTCAAGGTGTATTTCTTACTGCTTTAGATCTGCGTATTCTTTTAAATCAAAAGTAATTTATGACAGTTAAAGTTCCTTTCATTTTTGCAAAAAAACCTTTACTATTAAAATTTATTGGTTCGCATGATTACAAAGAGTTATATTTTATTATATTAGAGCACAGTTTGACTTTAACAAAGTATATTTCTTTTATTATCCATCAAAGCCGCCATTAAGATAATTAGCATATATTTTTTTTTTTTTTTTTTTTTTTTTTTTTTTTTTTTTTTTTTTTTTNTTTTTTTTTTTTTGAATTCTATCATATGTTGTATTGAACATTCTAATAATAAATTCAACTCGATAACATACGAACATGTAAGAGACAAAAATTGAATCCACTTTTATGACTTTATACTTACATATTGTCTTGATTTTTGAATGAACGATTTTAAATACCGATATATTAGAAATTATACTTATTTGAAGAAAACAAAATGAAAAAAACTGTCCACCTGCTGGTCTCCAGAGGCTGCTAGTTGTTTATAAGAGAAAACTTCGCACTAAGTGTCGAAAAGTTTATGAGATTTTAATAAAGTAGATCTTATTGCACACGTAAATTACGTTAGTTATTGGATGATTAAAAATAATACCCTTACATATTGGTCGAAGAATCGACAAGTTTAAGAGATTTTACTAAAGTAGATCTTATTGCGCGCAAATTACGTTTATAATTATTTGATGATTAAAAATTATACCCTTACATATTGGTCAAAATGTCAAAAAGTTTAATAGATTTTACTATAGTAGATCTTATTGCACGTAAATT